ATGAACAATTTAAAATGACTGGTTTTCTTCTTATAATCCTTTATCAATTAAACTCACAAATAAAAATAAATTTTATTTAAAATACACTTTATAGAAGTAGTGGTTGCGGATTTTTTCGTAAATTAAAAAAAAAATGTTAATAAAACATATGGTATGCAGTCCAGAACCAGAAGTGCAGTGTGGCATGGCGTTGACTTCTAAGCTATGCAGCGATGAATGACATTTGTCCATAAAGATTGGCTGACTCACAAGGCTGCACCCTCAAAAGTCCAATCTTGGCGTATTTCAATAATTTAAAATAATAAAGCAAAATAAATACAGAAACGCATTTGTGTTTAGGTTGAAAGTAATTCAAAGTTCATTTGACACGTAATATATTGGTGACATATATTATATATATATTTTGCGCACCTTCCCGATCCTGAGCCTTGTTTTGTTAATAACGTGGCAATAACTATTAACTAATAATATTATCAATATTTATTACTTAATTTAAAGTTTAATTGTATTAAATTACTCCGTAATGAAAAATATAGATATCAAGAATACAAATTACATAAATCACGAAAGAACAACTCCAATTAAGTTATGTGGAAAGAGTAAATTTTGAATATGAATGATGTAATCATGTAAATGCCTAATTAAATCAAATCATACTTTGCTATAAAACTCGTGAACAATACAATCGTATGCACATATCTAACAGTAACTTTTCAGTTCTATTTAAGTAATTAAAATTTCCAACTTAAACTCATGGATAACATTCAATTCATTATATTGTTGCATGTGCTTTTAGAATTGAACTTGGCATTTAATGGTATCCTCTCATGTCCAAACATAAAAATTTAATGATTAATCATTAAAGTGTCCAAAATATTTGTCGCCCAAACTTAAGGATTCAATTCAAATCTTTTCATGTTGACAATGTGAGGTGTGATTGGAGCTTAGGAGATATGGTGATGTGTGCTGACGCATTCTATAAATCTTTCGTGGCATGAAAATATGGAAAGCAAATTCAAAAAAGTGTATTTTTTTTTGTTATGGTCATAGAAGCAAGCTATATATGGGAAAAGACAATGCAATTAAGGAAAGGAAGCTAGGTTTCATGGTAATTGGTAGGGAGAATCTAACTACCATACCGACTATTCAGTATAATGTTTGAAGACTCGATGCAATGGTCAAAACCATTACTTTGTTGCCACTTGTCTTCGATCATCTCCCATTTATTCACGTTAATGTCTGATTGTCTTCTCCCTTCAATTAGGAATTAGCAAATCATCATTTTTAATTTATTACTAAAAGTTTCCCATATACTACCCCACAAAGTTATATGTGGTATTTTTTTTTTGAATGCTACTAGCTCTATTACATTGTAGTATCAACCTACTGAAACACAAAGAGCTAATAACTCCTCCACTGAGGCTCGAACTTACAACCTTCCAAATGGAAGTCCAACCCGGGTACCATTAGACCACATAGTCCTGGTAAGTTATATGTGATATAATTTCTAATTATTCACAATTTTTTATCCGCCACTTAATTACAATAATATATACATTCTATATATTTAAGGTGAATTTGAAAGAGCAATTGTAGTAATAAAACAATTGAAATGGTTTGCTACCATTAATTTCGAACCAAGCCTATATAAAAATTATGCACTATTCACTCGGCAAAGTCAAGCTATTCTTAGATATACCGAAGGATATCTTTTTGCATACGGCATTCATCCATTCAACATTCTAACGGGTGAAGAAAAAACTTGCCGCCATTACCTAAGAGTAAACCCTGCCTTAAAGAGGTAAACCAACCCGTACACATAGTTGACCAGTTCAAACTAAGAAAATCAATATGTTGTTTTCATCATTAGAAGTCAGAATTGAAACCTTGTGATTACCAAGCTAACAGTCCAACCAACTTGACTACGGTTGTCCCCTAGGACGATACTTGCTCTTTATTTTAATACTTGTGACTCCATTCTTAATTAAGGTTCAAATCTCAAAAAATGAGTGTAATCATTTGATTTAGAATTTAAAACCAAATAATGGTACGATGAATGTTCTTAAAATACATAATTGCGACATAAATTTCACCCTCATAGAGAAAGAAAGATTGACATGGAAAAGGCCGGCGCCAAATACCCTTGACTTAAATCAATTTCCATGTCTACTTCCTCATCTATAAATTCGGCCAGGCAGTCATCTTCTCAAATGGACCTACAACTACACTTTTCTCTGTAGAAAGTTCACTTTTTCTTCCTCCCATCCACACATACACCTCTCAATCTCCATCACGAACATATATACTCTCAATCTTTGAATTTGTCCACTAAAACAACAAGGAATTGAACCAAAAATGGGAAGATCTCCATGCTGTGATAAGAATGGGCTCAAGAAAGGTCCTTGGACCCCAGAAGAAGATCTCAAACTCATCCACCATATTCAACTTCATGGTCCCGGCAACTGGCGAACTCTTCCTAAGAACGCCGGTACGTACGATCATATATTCATAGCAACATATATAGTAATTATTAAAGTTTATTGTTTATATATTTCCATATTTGATCAAAAATATAATACGAAAATCATCACTTGCAGGGCTTCAGAGGTGTGGGAAGAGCTGCCGTCTTCGTTGGACGAATTATCTTAGACCTGATATAAAGAGAGGGAGGTTTTCATTTGAAGAAGAAGAGACTATCATCCAACTCCATAGTGTTCTTGGAAACAAGTATGATTATATTCTTAACTGTACTGGTTCCTTCGCTGCTGGAAATTATTGAATTTTCGACCACCTGAAAATGATCTTAAATCAAATCGAAAGCAAAAAGTGGTCGAAAATAACAACAAAGATTTTTTCGGATACCAAAAGTGGTCGGAATAAGGCTTTTGATTTAAGATCAGGTGGTCGGAAATTTCATAATTTCCAGTAGTGCTTTCGGTACTTGTTGGATATGTCATATGTTGGAATTGAAGCTAATTAATTAAGGTTGTCGTTTTGATTAACTTCAGGTGGTCGGCTATAGCGGCGCGCTTGCCGGGGAGGACAGACAACGAGATCAAGAACTACTGGAACACTCACATAAGAAAAAGGCTTCTCCGGAGCGGTATCGATCCGGTGACTCATAGTCCCCGGTTGGATCTTTTAGACCTCCCCTCGCTGCTTAACTTGACGCAGTTAAACCTCTCCGGCTTGTTGGGGCTGCAAGCGCTCGCAAGCCCAGAGGTTTTGAGGCTTCTTTGTACTCTCATGGCGGCACAGAACGAAAACAACTCACCACAGATTCTATTACAGAAGCTTCAAGAGAGCCAGTTTTTAAACAATCAGGTTGAAAACGAAAACGAAAACGAAAACCCTATGTTATTGTTGCAGAAATTACAAGAAAATCAGTCCCTAAATGCCCCAATCCAAAACCACCAGACCGCAGATTTCCAGTTCTTAGACACTGTTCCATCAAACAACGTTTGCGCTTCCTCTTCTCTTCCCATGCAGCCCACCAACTTGAGCGGCGGCCAAGTAATTCAAGAAAGTTTGATCCCTTCAAACGGAGGAAATCTTATGATGAACAGTCTGCAAAATAATTATTATGGCGTCTTTGAGCCTGAACAGTCATTAAGCGATTGGAGCAATCACCATAATTTCGGGTTGGACTCGGTTCTTTCGACGCCGTTGTCGAGCCCAGGCTCGACAACGTTTGTGAACAGCGGGAGTACTTGTACTGAAGACGAGAAAGAAAGCGATTGCATCAGCAATATCATGAAATTTGAAATCCCATCGGCGAGCTTAGATTTCGAAGATTTGCTGTAAATATTAATAATCATCTGCATGCTAATGCGTATAGTATATGCTTGGGATATGCGAGTGATCTGTTCATTTGTATTATTATTGTATTGTTTTATTTTGTTCTTGGTTTCTTATTTTTTTTTCTGGGCTTTCTGTGGTTTCCAACGTTAATTTGAATGGCCGGAGACACTGTTACGTCTCTGTATATGGACCGTTCGAATTTGTTATTATAGTATGAGGATCGATGTTTGTTTTTTCTTGTTGTTAGGTGTATAAAGATCGACCAACTTTTAGTTTGTCATGTTTTGTTTTACGGAGTCGTCCTTAGTACTGTACCTGCAGGCCTTTGCGTGCAATATCTCCCTTTCTCTCTTTCACTTCCACTATAGCATAGTCAAGAATGAGGTTAAGATTGGTAACACTAGCCAAGATGACAAGAAATTTACACTTATAACCACAAGGTCAGGTCAGGAGTTTAAATCTTGGCCACCTTAGTTTGAACCGGTCAACTATAGGTACTTAATCTAGACTAATTTACTTTCTTGTGTTTTTTTGTCAAGTATGATCACAGAGCAGAATTTACTTTACACCCAAAAGGGTCGTCGGGTTTCCCTCGTCATAGAAAAAAAGTTAAGATTAAGTGAACATTGCATAATCTATTGCTGTAATAATACATATTGTCAAAATAATAATACGATCATTATAACCCAATAAGGTAGTTCAAGTGGTAAATGAACTCCTTTTGTGGGGAAGAATAACCTAAATTTAATTCTCTTTGGATCAGTTCCTGTGCCTCTAGAATGTGTTTTACAAAAAAAAAATAAAAATGGTAGCATAAAGAGGTTGAGTTGTGGCCAAAAGTACAAACACCAGATTTGTTTAAATAGAAGGTCCAAAGCTAACCAAAATTTCAATTATACTCGTAAAATCGACAAAAGCATATTATATTATCTTGGAAAATGAATTAATGACCAAAAAAGGGAAAAGTACAAAAATTCCTTGCTCTTAGGCATGGCAACCCAAAGAGAACAAAATAGGCATCTTTATTCCTTTTGAAGATGTGGAATACGTACATACTAAGCAAAACCCATAAAGAAAAAAGAAAAAGAAAAAAAGAAAAAGAGTTACATGACTTACTATATATATATAAACACTACTACTCTTTTAAAAAAAAATATTGCCACCAAACTCTCATAATCCTCTGATTCATCAACCATAGACCTCGTATTCATATATTCAACATACTGAATTCACCATTCACATTACTTGAGCTATGGAGGGTGTGAATGGTGAAGAAGACCAGGCAGGGGTGACGCAAAAGCAGGTGAAAGATGCTCAGGACAATGAAGAAGATCTTGATCCTGAGGAGTACAATAAGAAAACAAACGAATTCTTTGAGGGCATTATAAAGTAATCTCTTTTTCTTTTCTTTTATTTTTCTTGCACATTTATGTGAATTTTACAAATTATTAGCTATATTGCATAAAAATCTCTCTAATTTTTTTTTTTGTCAATAATTATTATTAATTACATGACTTATATATTTGTGTGTACATAGATAATATATAATAAGCATATTTTTATATCATATCGTACCCAATTCAACCTTAGTATATGACAGGATATATAGTATGAGTTAACGGGTTTAACCTATTTTGATAACTCTAGCTAATTTGCTTTTGTCAATAGTTTGGGATGGGTTGTCCAAATTAGAGTTTATATTATTTTAAAAACATGTAAAACTAGAATGCATTTCTTATTTCGAATAGAGCTTATAATTTTTTAACTATTTATTCATGATTTAGACCATTACTTCTTTTTTTTTTTTTTTTTTTTTAAATACATTAACAGAGGAGTTAATGTAAGATATGTGTACCATTTTGACCGAGTTCGGTAATCTTAGGTTAACGAGGAGAAAAAAATTGAAATTAAATTTGTTTATCAGTATATATATATATATATATATATATATATATATATATATATATATATATATATATTAAATTAAAACAAAAGAAAAAAAAATAATTGGTAAGGGTAAATGATGTCATTTATTTATGAACAGACGATTGGAGTTACAACTTTAAAGAGTTGCTGGATGGTGAAGAGTTACCGAAGAGGATGAATAAAAGTATAGGAGAAGAGGCCAAAGGGTTTTAATTGGGAATAGTAAAAGATGTCATTTATTTAAAATAAGAGTTAATACCCAAAATCGTCCTCGACTATAGTGGTTTTTCTCAATTTCGTCCTAAACGACTTTGGTGACCTAATATCGTCCCAGACTTTTGTGTTTCGCTCAATTTAGTCCTCCATTTGTTATTTCGTCAAATTGGTGTTAAATAAAGGGACAGTTCAGTAATGTCAATTTTGATCTCTCTTTACTTTCAACTTGTGAAGTGCGAAATTCCTCTTTCTTGTACGAATTACACTCAGAATTACTCCCGGACCTGCAAATCAAATTTTATATTCGCAGTTTTAGGAGTAATTCTGGGAGTAATTCGTAAAAAAAAAGGATTTCGCAGTTCACATGTCTATGAGTAAAGAGATGCCAATATTAAAATTAATGAATTGTCTATTTATTTAACACCAAATTGACAGAATAACAAATGAGGGACTAAATTGAGCAAAAACACAAAAGTCTGGGACTAAATTGAGCGAAACACAAAAGTCTGGGACGATATTAGGCCACCAAAGTCGTTTAGGACGAAATTGAGAAAAACCACTATAGTCGAGGACGATTTTGGGTATTAACTCTTTAAAATAATAAGGATAAAGATAGAAAAAAGTTAGGAAGCTCCTAACTTATTTTTGAAACCTACCTACCTTTTAAAAATAAGCTCTTATTTTAAGCTACTAGCTTAATTTGAGAACATTACTAAATAAAGCTTATAATTTATTATTAGCTTAAACTAAGCTATAAGCTCCTAATCTCAAAAAAAAAAAAAAAAAAAAAAAGCTATAAGCTCCTAAATAAGCTCTGTCAAATAGAGCATAAGTATTGAATTAACAAAGTATGCCAACGATTTTTGGTCTAGTGACACTAAGTGACTTTCCCAAATGAAAGGTCACGGGTTTGATTCCCACTAGAGCAGTATTAACTCTTTACTGAATGTTCACAATTTAACATTTAAATTGTGAATATTCAATGTATAAATTATCTATTTTGATCCGAGTCCACATTGTAAGGTGAATGCGGGTCTATAGCGGTTGAGTTAGTAGTACTAGAAAAAAGTATATATTTTACTATTTAAGCCCAAGTTTGGCTACGATCTTTATCTTTTAAATAATTGTTAACTAAGCATGAGTTATTTATTAAATAATTCGTTAACTCGTTTTTTTTTTTTTTTTTTTTTTTTTTTTTTTTTTTTTTTTTTTGCGTAGAAATAATTCGTTAGCTAGGTAATAAAGGATGTAAGATAATAAGTATTTGTCTGTATTTATTAAACGTGATTGCTTATTGAGTATTTGTCAACTTAGAATGAAAAGAAAACATTGAAACAATAAAAAAAAGAATTAATAATTATTGTTACTTGAAAGTGTTATTTTATCTTTCCAAAAAATAAAAAAAAAAAAGAAATCTTTATTTTTAAAAAATATATGTGTCTCAATTTTGATAGTATTTGCAAACATTCTAGATTTTTTTAAAAGAAGAATATAGAAAAAGTTACTAAATGTATACTAAAAAAAATGAATAGTTGAAACATAATGTATTAATTTATACATAAAAGTAATAACCCTCATAAATAATCAAATACATAATGTATTAATTTATAAGACAATAACAAATACTTTATACAATGTACTACTTACTAATACATTTTTTCAATATAGATAAATAAATAAACATATATTTATATATATGATGTATATATCACTAATATTAATGATGTATATATACACTAATATAATTATTGACCTCTCATAAAATTTATAGCATTTAATTTACTTCTACTATGCTAAGTAATCAATTTTTTTTTCTTTTGTGAAGCGTAATATATATTAATAAAAAAAAGCATTATATATGTCAATCCATGCATGTTATGTTTATGTTTTTTTTTTTTTTTTTTTTTTTTTTTAATGTTTAAAGGTATACATTTTACTTTAAATCTTTATTAGATAAAAGTATATTTATATTGTTATATCTCCATTAATATTTAATGAATTATAACTCCTTCACTATTACTATACACTACCAGTATCTTTTTCTTATTATTTAACTATAATTTTATTAAAATTATTTTATAACAATTAATTTAATTACAGATTATATTTTAAATAAATTTCTATAAATGGTAAATCAATATATGTGTATATTATATAATATATACCAATATATGTGGCTACTATCTAACTATTATAAATATAATTTGAACTACAATTTACCACTTTACGATGAATTTGGGGTTGACTATTTGGTCAGGAAGATGAAGAATGAGGTTGCGGAGTATGGGAACAAAATTGAGAAAGCTATGGTTACAAACATCACAAATGATTTAAGCATTGTGAAGGCTTTGGTGGTGGAATTTTGCACCCAAAATTATATGAAAACCCATGTGAAAGGCAAGGTAAAGTGCATAGAAAAAGAAGTTGACGAAGTAATTAAGCAGAATAAATGGGAGAAAAAGAAGAAGGAGGAGGAGGAGGAGGAGGAGGAGAGAAAGTCGGTGAAAACCTCTGAATGGTTGTATTATATTGGTCAGAAAACGGCGAAAATCAAGAATTTGGTTTCCCAATTTGGGAGCCTGCCGGATGAAGAAGACCAGTACGAGGAGAAGAAGGAGGAGGAGGAGAGCAGTGCATCGTCGTCGTCGGTAATCGGCGGTAAGAGGGAAAAGCAGAAAACGGTATCAAACTCGACGGAATGCCATAAAATGTGCATCGAAGAGAGCCTCCTGATATCGCCAATGATGGCGGCTAGCCTTAAAAAGAGCTTCGACCATCTTCCCAGTAACGAATTGAAGCTGTGTTTGCTCACCCTTTCGGCTTTTCCAGAGGATTTCATCATAAAGAAAAGGCCACTCATATATTGGTGGATGGCAGAGGGCTTCGTAGTGGGTGAGGAAGTTGGCGAACAGAACTTCACCCAACTTATCCAACATGGGTTAATACAACCTTGGTATGAATCAGGCAACACTACTACTACTACTACAGACCAACCACATAATAATAATGTAGTACATGTACAAGGTTGTCGTGTGCATCCTTGGATTCGAAGAATGTTGGTTTCAATTGCAATGGATGCCCAGTTGTTTGAATTTTTTGGTATTCCTCAGGAGCATCCACATCCACATCCTCCTGGGAATAATCCTCATCCCAGAAGCCGACGTGTGTGCTTATATGACGATGGAGAAGGGGTAGACGATATTACCACTTGGAAAACTAGAACTCGGAAATATGACAGGTTTCGTGAAAGGTTCAAATGGATAAAAGGTAATGCTGTTCACTGGGAGAGGATAAAGACAGCGCTGCATGATGTTAAGGGGAAGGAGGAGTCGCCTGAAATAATAATGCCAATAAAGGATCGTCATAAAGAGGTGTCTGATAGGCAAAGGAAGCTGCTAATCACTTATACTAGATTTCTAGCTCCTCTCAATATTTTGGTTGCTGAAGTAGTCGCCCATGGAAAAATAATGAAACCTGCAGCCGTGCCCAGGAGCGATCATCATGATGCCCTCCTCGATGCCCTCAATCACAGGCTAAGTAATGTGAAGACTCAAATTGATGATGCTATGAAAAACAATGATGCCCAAAACATTCTCAAAAAGTTGCAGGATGAGCAAATGGAACTGGTGAAAGACATTGAGGGGTTAGAAAAGCTAGCAAAAGATCAGTTGAGTTATCTGGAGAGTGTGCTTGATACTGCGGTCTATGAAAGAAGCCACATCTGCAACAAGTTGCAGAAAAATGAGTTGTTATTTAGACACAATGACCTCAACAAGCCATTTCCTTTTCCAATGAAGAAGAAGAAGGACAAAGGGATATGGACCACCACCACAAGTACTACTACTAGTAGTAATGGAACAAGTAACGCCAACAAGAATGAGCAAGACAAAAAAAGTGATGAGGAAGCTGTGGCTGCGGCAGCGGAGAGATTACTGGCAATCATCAATGTTACCCAGAAATACCTGGATATGGATCATGAAGCATTTGGGAAAATGAAAAGGCTTCGAACTCTTCACCTGGGGAGGTGGCGAGACTCCTTGCCTGTACCTCACATTGAGGTTGAAGATGCCAGAATCTTGGAAGCCCTGTTCCATGTGGCCAAGCATTTGAAATACTTGAGCCTGAGAGGGATTTCAAGGATCACTGAATTGCCTTCCAATATCTCTAATTGCTGCAACCTCCAAATCCTGGACCTCAAGGCCTGTTACAATTTGGAAAAGCTTCCTGCCCAGATTGCCTTTCTCTATAAACTCACTCATTTGGATGTCTCAGAATGTTACCTCCTTCAGAATAACAATTTGTGGAGCCTTGTTCAACCCCTTCAGTTCCTCCAAACCTTAAAGGGTCTCAAGGTAGACCAATCCACTCAAACCTCTCTTAAAGCCTTGGCAACTGCTGATAGCTTAAGGAAGTTGAGCATCATACTCACTGAACGCGACTTCAACATAGATCTACTAACCGGTTTGAGCAAGCTTTGCATTCTCACAATAACATGGAGGATAACACCAGAGCCCCAGCAAAAACCAGGTGCCAGCACTGAGAATCCGCGACAGGAACAACCGGAAAAAAGTGATGATGGTGGTGGTGGCAGCACTGAGAATCCGCCACCACAACAACCGGAAAAAAGTGATGGTGGTGGTGGTGGCAGCATTGAGAATCCGCCACCGCAACAACCGGAAAAAAGTGCCAGCACTGAGAATCCGCCGGCACAGCAACAAACAGATATTGAGGAGGCTCTGCCAAATCATCTAAAGAAGCTTGACCTGAGATGCTATCCAGATAAAGATTGGCCAAATTGGGCTAAGAAGCATTCTTCATTGGAAACACTTTACATCACTGGAGGAGACCTTGAGGAGTTTCCCAGGGCAGATCTGAATCTACCAAAACTCCAGCTTCTGCGTTTCAAATATTTAACCAAACTCAAATTGGGTCAGGATTTCAACACACCTCACCTAAAATCCACCATATTTCCCTCTCTCATCACCTTCATTAACCATAGCATCAAGTCTAAGAAGTGAGAATAATGCATGCATGCATCATATCATATCATGCAACCTGACTCGCTCTCATCCGCCCACATCATATCCCAACGCGCAATATATATAGTTGCAGCGTTAGTTACTATTTTCCCATTTGATTTCAAGTCCTTTTTTTGGTTTTGTTTTTGTTTTCCAATAAATCTGTTGCATGTTGTGTTTATTATGCGGTAGCATTCATGAGATGCTTGCTGCCATTTTGTTGTTCACTACAAGAAAAATGCACATAGACAACGGTTAATAACCGTTGTCGTAGGGGTATAATTTCTGTTGTTGAAGCCGGTGTTGTTGTAAGTCCCGCGCATAGACAACGGTTTTTTAACCGTTGTCTTTTCTAGAAACGACAACGGTTTTTTAACCGTTGTCTATTAAGTGTTGTTGAAACCGGTGTTGTTAAAAGTCACGCACATAGACAACGGTTATTAACCGTTGTCTTTTCTACCAACGACAACGGTTTTTTAACCGTTGTCTATTAAGTGTTGTTGAAACCGGTGTTGTTAAAAGTCACGCACATAGACAACGGTTATTAACCGTTGTCTTTTCTACCAACGACAACGGTTTTTTAACCGTTGTCTATTAAGTGTTGTTGAAACCGGTGTTGTTAAAAGTCACGCACATAGACAACGGTTATTAACCGTTGTCTTTTCTACCAACGACAACGGTTTTTTAACCGTTGTCTATTAAGTGTTGTTGAAACCGGTGTTGTTAAAAGTCACGCACATAGACAACGGTTATTAACCGTTGTCTTTTCTACCAACGACAACGGTTTTTTAACCGTTGTCTATTAAGTGTTGTTGAAACCGGTGTTGTTAAAAGTCACGCACATAGACAACGGTTATTAACTGTTGTCTTTTCTACCAACGACAACGGTTTTTTAACCGTTGTCTATTAAGTGTTGTTGAAACCGGTGTTGTTAAAAGTCATGCACATAGACAACGGTTATTAACTGTTGTCTTTTCTTTAAAAGACAACAGTTATAAACTGTTGTCTATTGTGTGTTGTTGAAATCGCTTTTGTCACACCCATAAACTGTTGTCTTTTGTAGAAAAGTCAACGGTTTCTAATTGTTGTCTGTTGTAAAATAGACAACGGTTTTTAATCGTTTTTCACCTGCTTAAATTATAATCATATAAAAATAATAATTTATCCATTCACCATATGTTGCAAAATGTAGTTACATAATTGTGCACAAGCTAATAAGGTTCAAAATAACAAGTCAAAAGACTTCCATGACCAATTCTAATTATCATCCAAGTCATAATACTACTACACAAAAAAAAATTCCACTAACCAATTCAAGTCCAAATGATCACAACGTTCTAATGACCAAATCATACCTACTCTATATGACTTGATAGAATATCGGCCCATTCAGCACGCACCAGATCAATAACCGCTTTGTCATAATCAACTTGTTGAAACTACATGTAAAAAGTAAGAAAATAAATTAGTATAGATATAAATAATTTGCAATGAAATGCAAAATAAGTTAGGAGTAATTCGGAAAGCTCTCCAATCTGGAAGGTTATAGTACAAAAAAGCTAGACAGGAAACACTAAAATGGCATACTAGAGTGTATTCGAGTAAAATCAATGCATTGGCAATACTTTCCTAATATGAATACAAATGCCCCCAATTGACAACTACCATGTGGGATGGATGGCATTTATCAATCTACCAGTCATGCTTTGCCTACTTTCTATTTTTTTCTTCCTCAAGGCCCAAGCAAAATAAAACACATTGCATCCTCTATATAATGCCACTGCAACCAAAAATATCAATACCAAACCACAAGCACACTTTAATTTGTATATAAGGATTTTGGCAGGCAGGATTTTGGCACTTAACACCAAACCACAAAGATTAAGCACACTTTAATTTGTATATATCAATACAGTATGCTTTCCAGTCTTCCAAAAAGGAAAGATAAGAGATGAATTATCATTATTCATCACCAAAAAAGGTAAGACATTAAGAAAATAATTGCTGACCATATAATTTCAATGAACAACAAATCAGAACAGCACACTGATTCACTTATGCACATACAAACAGTTAAGCTCACATGATTCTTCATTTCATGACTATATGCTCATTTTAAATAATCACCTAATGCACTTATATATGCACATACAAACAGATTTTCACTTCAAACAGAATTTTCATGTACATATATACCAGTGCTTGAACAGAATTTTATCATCGAAGTCTGGCATATTCTCAATTAAAGTTTTCATGTACGCCATGACAAAGAAACCGCATTGGTTACTATCCGGTTGACGAGGAGCCTACGAATGTTAAATAATATTTGCATTACAATTTAGCTATATACAAACACTTATATAGTTAAAAATATGAAATTACCTTGACAATTTCCCAAGCAGTTTTACTGCGTCCTTTCTTTCCATTCGTAGAGGACGCATGGACCATTTTAATAGCCCTTCATATATATTGTTGATTATTCAGATTATGTAATAATAAATCGAAAGAATGAAATTTTAAAAAATTTAAAAAAAAAAAAAAAAAAAAACCTAGCTTCAACCATTTGTTGAATCAGGTAGAATTGAACCATTTGTGAAAACCATTTTCTATAAGCTTTACCTTTGGCACCAATAACATACTCCACTGGTCCATACTCGTTTTCAATCTGCAGTAAACACAAAGACAATAATAGTTATACAATTAAGCCAATATATAATATAATCCATCTTCTTCCTTAGCTTCAATTCTAACCTGATTCATAATAATAGGTCCACCGTCAGGTTCAAACATTTTCTCCACTTTCATCATGTTCACAATTTTTTCAACAAACCGATGCATACCCACCTTGTTGTAATCACCATAGTTTAGTAAACCAGAATATATAGCAAAATATATATGAACAAATTAATTAAGTAGACAACCTTAAAAGGCTAATTGTCTGTTCTAAACTCAATCCCAGGCACAAATTTTAGCCAAACAGGGAATCCCCTGCACCACAATTCATACAATTAAGCTAGGATCCCACTTTACATGATCATATATAACTAAATGTATATGCATATAAAATAATCTTACCCATAATTCCATTCTCCACAAATATAAGGCCCAATGCGGTGATGAAGATACAGCCCTGCCTGATGTGCCAGTTTGAGAGCATTTATAAAAGCAAACAAGAAGAGAAAAAAGAGATGATTCGCTATAAGGATAATAAAGAATTATTGCTATGATTGGATAAGAGATATCTCTGGACATTAGCTTTTAAGAATCAAAAACCAGATCAGAATATTGGATCAACTTTGTAAAATTTCCAAAATAACCCTTTTTGTTTCCTTTATCTAATTGTTGGACATGCTAGTTTTGTTCACATCATACAAGTTCTCCAAATTATTTCAATAATATTTCATGTTGAACACACAGAATTAACATAATTAGAATGTTATTAGATGCAAGTAGTAAGCTGTGGTTTTTTCTATAAACATCAAAATTCAGAGTGGTTTAGAAAATATAGTGTTTGCATCTCAAAGTACATTTTGCTTCTTACTTTATTTATGAACCTGTATAAATCTTTTTGACAGATTAAATTTTTAATCATATAAATGAGTAAAGCAAATGTTTCTTTTTAATTGACATGAACAAATGCTAAATAGACAGCACTAGTAGTTCTGCTTGAAAAGTGATCTTGTTAAACTTCAGTGCTTATTATATTAAGGTTAAAAGTAAGGTTTAAATGTTTAATTCTAAAAGTATGATGAAGCAAATAACTAGGGATTTTAGCAAAACTAAAAGTTACTACTCGTACAGCCCAGGTTTCATAATTCATATACAGAAAATCAACTCAGTCAAAATCATAGCCAAAATCAAACTAAAGCTATATGCCTAGTAAAATACTAAAACATAGGGTAGACAAAATCATAGCCAAGAACACTCATAGCTTTCACATATGGAAAATTTAACAATACAATAAAGAAATTAGGAATTAGGGTTAAAAAAATTGAGGACTAACCTGGAGGGATGATGCAGCAACGGCGGCGGAGGTTGGAGGCGGCGACGACGGCGGAAGTTGCAGACGACGACGACGGCGGGAGTTGGAGACGGCGACGACGGCAGAGGTTGGAGGCGGCGACGGCACTGTCGGAGGCGAGGGCGGTATCTTCTGGACTTCGACACTGGGAGGCGACGGTGGTTTTGTGTGTTTGCGCTGAAGTGTTTTGGCAAAATTAGTTTTGTTTTGTGTTTTAATTCCTTCTTTGGCGCTTTAGTGTTAATATTCAAATGAAGTCAAAATTTACAAAGAGGGAATTATTTTATTTGAGAGGGAAGAAGATTTTTTACAAATTGTGCAAGTTTTGAAATTCAACATTTAAAGAATAACATATATATCTAATATATATTAAAGTCAAAATTATTTTAACTTTTATTTCTTTTAAAGAATAACATATATATCTAATATAATAAGCAAAATAACGAAAGTTTTATTTTTATTTTATACTAAATCTTCATTTTTTTACAAATTAAATAACTATATTGATGATTTATTATAGGGACCGGATCCACCATAAATCGGGTATATAGGTATATAACATGGGTAAGAAAATAGTAGCTTTATTACTCGGGACGCTAGGTCCAAAATAGTAGTTTTATATAAAATAATGTACTTTTGAAAAA